CTTTGTTATTCTTCTCTCTCTCTCTCTATATATATATATATATATATATAAAATTTTATCTTATTTTCTTTAATGTTCATTATTGTTCTTGCTGATTTTACAATTCGCTTTTAATATATAATCACATCTTTAATTCTTGCAATTTTATAATATTCTATAATTCTCAAAATTCAAATTGAATTTTTTACAAATCCTGCAATCTTATAATTCTTGCAAAGTCAAACTTTAATTCTCTAATGCATCCATTTTTTGCAAATCTTTTTGCAATTTTATCGCATATAAAATCGTCAAAGTTCAAAGTAAATTTCTTACAAATTTTGCATTTACCATTTCTTGAAAATTCTCTATACACACACACAAATATTTGAATATTTTCGGGAGTAGCGTATACGTATGTATATGCACACAATGTACACGTATATTAGTTTTCGCGCGATCGTTATCCAGAACGGGCCGCATTCAGATCGATCTCCACGCGTTTTTCAGTTTCGAATGCAAACGACTGGCGCCGCCGCTGTCCGCGCATCACACCGGTTATACTTATTTTCTTTTCGACGAGGCAAGATTATCTCAAGACACGAAGTGACCTACAGACCGTATTTTGGCGCCCGTCCAAGTTCGTCTTGGAATCAGGGGCAATATAGTACCAAGGTCGTATTGTGTGAACGGAATTATCTGTCCTCGTGGATGACACGACTGCATTGCGCCAATTACAGTAACCGTTCGATCGCCGTTTGAAAAATTTCCGATCCGTTTCTCTTAGGGTCGATCGTTTCATCTTCCTCCTCTTGTTCCAAGTGCGTGAAATTTTTAGGATCGAGAAGTGTGTGGTTCGTCTTTCGATGGGATTTTTTGTATGGTTGTTATATATTTAGTTTATAGATAAAGAGGAAAATTGTTATTGTACGGATTTTAGTGGTTTCGTGCAATAAGAAATGACAGATTCTAATAAAATTGCTGATGTTTTCGATCGGGAAGCAGGAGTGAATCGATAAATTGCGTTTTATTTTTCATTGTTTCTTCTCGAGGCGAAGAAATAGCTTGAAATATAATGTTAAAACGAAGCAATAATTTTGTGGAAAAAATTTTTTCAATCTCCACGAAACTGACGAAAATGGATTTTGTCGCGAAAAGAATGGAGCCTTCGAAAGCTTTCTGATTATAACTGTCTCCCCTTTCTTTCGCCGCATGTTACACAAAATATAGTCAATCAGAGAAAGCCTCGAATCTTACAAGAAAATTCACTTAACTCTGAAATTCGAATCTCAAGGAAAATAATGGATTCTCTAAGGTAATTTTTCCCAATGGAAATTCTCCTTATGAATAGTTTTCCACATTTTTATTTTCCGAATCATTCGATTCCACGCACTTCTACATCGTTCTTTATCGATCGTTTACAATATGTGATCAGCATTATATATAAATAGATACAATTACACTATCATACTATAAGTAAAATTTAAAAATTCAGTATACATTTTACAACGTTATTTATACAATTCTTTTAACATAGTTTTAATTATATTCTAAAAAAAGTTTTTTTTATAACAGACATATTATATTCAAACAATTTCTCTCGAGTAAAAAGTATTGAAATATATTTGTAGGAATTACTTGGTATAATTTCGGACAAAGTTCGTGTTAAATAATTATTACGTTTATTATATTTTTACTCGATTTTTATTTCAAAAATATCAAATAAAAATATTTTCTATCCCCAATTTTAAATAAAATCTATCGTCACTCGAAGTAGTGAAAAATTTAATAAACAAATCGTTTGAATAACATTTCATTCCTCAAAATTAATTATTTATTCTTTTCATTTTGAGTAAAGTGTTTCGAATCCGCTCGAAGAAGATTCGTGAAGGCGATCGAAAGATGAGAAATCATGGCCACTCGCGGACGTTCGATAACGAGACTAAATATCGATCGGCGGCACAGTGCATACGCGTGTATCCGCGCCGTCGCGAATACAATCCAATTTCTGTTCTCGACGGGTCGCTCGTCATCGCGATGCACCGTCCTCTCAATCGAATCGCGCGCTATAATGTTCGAAAAGGCTAATTGCCTGTCCCAAATAATAGATTTTTATAGCATCCGGTACGTGGATCAATGTTTTCGCTCTTCAATCCATTATCTTGGAATCCGTGCGAATGAAATTCGCCTTCTATCGATAATAAAAAGAACTTTTAAATATTGAAATCCGATCGATACATAAATACGTAAAGAATTCAATGTAATTTTTCATTGTGAGCAGTGAATTAGGAAAATTTTTAAATAAGTTCTGTGTATTTTTCTACATTTTTCAAAAGCAGTTTCATTTTTTCTAAACGTGATCGTGAAAACAAATCGTACTTTAGAGAGAAATATCCTAGTATCAAAGTTCTCATCTTTGCTATTCTAGAACGGTTGTAACATGCCGTTTGCATTTGACCCGTGGAATAGGAAATATTTGCCAATTTCACTTGCCTAGCCACGTCGAGTTATGGGCAACGGAATATGGATTGTGATTAAATCCACGATAAATCTCGCGCAAAATGTATCTTTATTTTTCTTAAAATTAATCCTACATACTAAATCAACTACTATTTAAATTAAATACATTCTACGATACTTATAATGGATTACTTATTTGTTAAAAGTTACAATTTAACCTATACTATTATAGGTTATATACAGATTCGAAATAATTGTGTACAAAGTATTTTTAATTATTT